TATTGTAGGCGAACTCTGCAAGGGATAGGTGGGAATACCAGTTCCCACTGAAGTCAACGATGCATTCCCTCAACATATCCTCGAGGTTCTGAGTGCTCCCCTCACTCTGACCATCGGTCTGCAGATGAAATGCTATGCTAAAGTGCAATCGCGTCCCCAATTCCTCGTGGAACTTCTGCCAGAAATGGGAGGTAAATCTAACATCCTGGTCGGAAACAATGGACACTGGAACCCCATGGCGAGCTACGATCTCGTGGACGTACATGTTGGCCAACTTCTCGGCCGATGAACTCTCCCGTATACCCAAGAAATGGGCACTCTTGGTCAATCGATCTACAATGACCCATATAGCATCAAATCCCTTCGTCGTCCTCGGTAGCTTGGTAATGAAGTCCATCATGATTTGTTCCTATTTCCACATAGGAATCTCTAGGGGCTACAGCATACCATGTGGCCTCTGATACTCGACCTTGACCATCCTACAAGTCAAGCACTTCTCAACATACCAAGCGATTTCTCACTTCATACATGGCCACCAGTAACTTAAACTCAGGTCTCGGTACATCTTGGTAGACCCTAAGTGAATAGAGAAGTGTGGCTTATGATCCTCCTCCATGACTTTCTGTCTAACCCCACCAGACATCGAAAGCCATAATCGACCACATCGGGTCAATAATCCCTGGCAATCCTGCACAAACCGGGTGTTCTCTCCCTTGATCCTCTCCAACTTCCAGTTCTCCGGTCGCACGCCCTCAACTTGAGCATCCCTGATGAAGCTCAGAAGCGGAGAATCCACCGCTATCCTCATACATATAACTAGAGTGGAGGACCCACCTAACTTGCAGCCCAAAGTGTCATCCACCATATTCGCTTTACCGGTGTGGTAAAGGATCTCGTAATCGTAGTCCTTGACTACATCCAGCCACCTGTGTTACCTCATGTTTAGGTTCGGCTGATCCATGATGTGTCTCAAGCTCTTGTGATCTATGTATATGGTACAACGGACCCCATAAAGGTAATGTCTCCATGTCTTGAGAGCGAAAACCACCGCTCTAATCTCTAAATCATGTGTAGGATATCTCGTCTCATGCGGCTTCAGCTGCCGCAATGTGTAAACTATCACCCGTCCTCTCTGCATGAGGACCGCCCCTAAACATGTGATTGATGCATCACAGAACACCACAAAATCCTCCACTCCCTTCGGGATTGTCAAGAATGGATCCTCGTATAACCACTGACGAAGGGTCTCAAACGCTCTCTGCGGCTCAAGGCCCCACCGAAAATCTACCCCTTCCTCGTTAGACGAGTGAGGGGTACTGTAATCTTGGAGAAATCCCGTATAAATCTTCGGTAGTAGCCTGTTAATCCCAGAATACTCTTGATGTCTGAAGGAGATCTCGTCACCTCCCACTACATGACTCCCTCGATTTGGTCAAATCGACCAGAATCCCCTCTTGGTTAACGAGATGTCCGAGGAACTAGACCTCTCGTAACCAAAACTCACACTTCGAGAACTTAGCGTACAACTGTTCTCATCTCATAACTCCTAATAACTCCATGAGGTGCTCCTCGTGCTGGTCTCGAGTCTTGAAATACACCAAGATATCATCAATAAACACTATGACTAAGCGATCAAGCATCATTCTACAAACCCGATTCATCAGGTCCATGAATACTGCTGGTGCGTTGGTGAGCCCAAACGGCATCACCAAGAACTCATAATGACCATAACGAGTCTGAAACACGGTCTTCTCCACATCCTCCTCTCTAACCTGGACTTGATGATACGCCGACCTCAAATCAATCTTGGAGAACCAAGATACATCCTGTAACTGATCAAAGAGATCATCTATCCTCGGGAGTGGATAACGGTTCTTCACTATTAACTTGTTCCACTCCTTATAATCAATGCACATCTGATGTGAACCGTCCTTTTTCCTGACAAAGAGGATCGGTGCTCCCTATATAGAACTGCTAGGTCGAATGAACTGCTTGCCTATCAGTTCCTGCAACTTTGATGACAGCTTCTGCATCTTGAGTGGCGCCAACCGGTACAGTGCCTTGGCAATAGGAGCCGCACCCGGCACCAGGTCGATCCGGAGCTCGACCTACCTCTCCGGAGGTACCCCTGGTAACTCCTCCGGGAACACGTCAGAAAACTCTCTAACCACTAGATCCTAAGAAACTGGAGTTTGAACTTTGACCCACGTATCCACCACATACGCTAGATAACCCACACACCCGTGCTGAATATACTGTCGAGCCCTGACAACTGAACAAAACCCTGATCCTACACTACTACCCTTGCCATATATAATCAGTTCTCCCCCACTTGGGCTTCGAACCACCACCCGTTGGCCCTCAAAATCTATCATGGCACCAAATCGACTAAGTCAATCCATCCCTAAAATCATGCACACCTCCCCCATGGGAATCGGAAACAAGTCTATCAGAAAGGACAATCCAAAGATCTTTAACTCGCATTCCCAGTAGACCGAAGAAGTAGAAACTTCATGTTCGTTGGCAGTAGACACTCGCAACGAACACTCTAGCTTGCCTGGTGGCACACTGAACTTCCTACTAAATGTTTGGGATATGAAAGAGCGACTCGCCCCCGAGTCAAATAAAACCAATACATGCAAGGATTTCACTAAAAACGTACCTAATCACGTATACAACAGATAATCATAAAATAGATATAATAAATGAGATAAAGGATAAAAACATACCACCAACCACATCTGGTCCTGTGCTAGCCTCCTCAGTTGTAAGTTGGAAGGCATGCCCCTGCACCTTCGGAGGCTTTGCCTTAACTGGCCTCCCATGTGCAATCCTCAATTTAGTCAGCACTGGAGATTATGTTGGCCTGGATGTAAGCTGTGGACAGTTGGTCTTCACGTGACCAACCTGATGACAGTGATAAAATATCCTCATATCTTATGTAGGGGCGGACTGGCGACAGTCCCTAACATAATTCCCCTCCTTGCCACACTTGTGGCTCCCACTACCTGATCGACAAACTCCATATTGACCATTGCTGCACTTTCCACAAGTGCGGCTCTGTTGACCCCCGGTCCTAGAATCAGCGGTCTTAGACCACTTCGGCGTCGGTTGAGACTGTTCTGGGGCTTGACGTTGCTCCCTCAACTGTAGCTCAATCTCCAAATCACGCCTCCGAGCGGCGTCCTGTATATCCAGAAGAGTATCACATCGTTGTGTGGCAACAAACTGGCGGATATCCGTCTTGAGCATGCTCAGATAACAAGTCATATGAGCCTGCTTGGAAGCAAACTTTGGGAAGAACATCACCCTCTCTGTGAACATACGGGTGATCTCCGTTACAGACTTCCCATCCTGTCTCAAACTCAAAAACTCCTGAGACAATCGTTCCCGCTCAACCCATGGAATGTATCAGGCGGGGAACATATCCTTGAACTGCTCCCAAGTAACAGCAACTCTCTGATCATCAGTGTACGACCCTATCATCAACCTCCACCAGTCCTTGGCCCTGGACCTTAGCAGGTTTAGAGCACACCTAACTATCTAGTCAGTAGGACACGAGCAAGTAAGGAAACACCCCTCAACATCATAAACCTACCTCATAGCCTTAATGGGGTCCTGAGTCCCAACAAAAGTAGGGGGCTTCGTGTTATCAAAGTCCCTGTACTAGAAGCCCCGAGTGGCTCCTACTCCTCCCCCTATCGCTGATACAACCAATGCAGTTTTAGCAGTAGCCGTCTCCACAAGGGCTACATATCTCTCATTGACGTACTCCATCATAACGGTCTTGATAGAACTAAACAAATCTGAAAATTAACTTTAGATAATTTCGACCAACTCCTCGCGGATGATCTCTCTGACTCGATCCTCTTTCAACACTGGCCCCTCCTGGCCGATAAACTCAAGTGCTAATGGGGCCTCCTGATCGCCCTGCCTTGATCCCGATCCAGATCCAGTCACAAAATGCCTCGTAAACACCATACTAAAAATATAACAGGAAGATAACAGACAATCTGCATAAATAACTGGGAACCAACTCCCGACTAAACCCTAGGGGTTGTGACTTCCTTTCTATGTGTATGGGTCCTATGCTTTCAGTATTATGGGCCCATACTACCTTCCACACCTACCCATATTTGTCTCAAGTATCATCACAACACCCTAACAATATACATGCATATGGTGGTCACTCAACCTCACTCCTAGAGGAAAGCTGACTGTCTCACATCGACCTACCGGTCTCACTCAACTCACTCATCCATGAAACTTCCAGCAATCCTACATCACTAGTATATGCTAACCATACATAATGTTGAACCCTATAGAATTTCGAATATCTGATCGTACCCTAATCCCTAATCAATAAGAACATAACATAAGGCCAAATCAAACATTCTCGGGCCATAAGATCTTAATTATGTACAACCGTGATATATACCCAAGCAACTACAGTAATGATGTCAATCTCATAGAAGGAAAACCCTAGGCTAGTCGGCATCACGTAATCAAACAATTCTATAATGCAATTCCTAAAGATCCCTAGCATAGTACTACACTACAAGAAAAAGGCCCTTTTACGACGCGCAAACCACAACACTCATTGTTTTATGTTACGCAAAAGAGAGTGACATTAAAAATGTGTCATCTCTTCAAAAAAATTTAGGATTTAGGTCACGCGTTATTGCGTGCCCTTAAATTAGTGTCTCATGTAAAAGAATTAAAAACACGGAGGGCACTTTATAAAAAATGTGTGCCCTCTGTGAATGTCGCTTTATATATATTTTTTTAAGGAATGCGCGTCTCTCTTCTCTTCTAAGAGGGAAAATGAAATCCCAAAAAATTTTGAACCTCGCTTTTTCTCCTACATTCGTATCGATCTGTTCTCTAACATCTATCTCATCTCCTTCGTCTCCGCCCCTCATCCACCTCCACTACCTCCAACCCACATCGACTCTTTAAGTCTGCACAACGTAAGCTAGGGCTTTTTTTGATCGGAGGTTATGGTGAGGAGGATTTTGGGGAAAACAACGATGATGAGGAGGAGGAAAAAGGTTAATTATCTGATTTCATTCCTGTTGGTGTTGATTTTCTCATTGATTTTCAACGTCTTCTCCGGTGGTGATGGTCGTCGGACACGTTATGGTTTTGTTGAAGGCGCCATTGGAAAAAGCGATGGAGGTTCTGGTGCGATTTTCTACATTACTGATGGGGGTATTGGAGCTAGTGGTGGCTCTCGCTCCCAATCTAATGTTGGAATAGCTATCGCCATGACAGTCATGGCTGGCCTCGCCGTGGCCGCCACCCTTGTTTACTCTAATTGGTAAAAGAAGAAGAGAACATTTACAATTACTTCAATTAGTCGTCCTAATCGAAATAGATCAATCGGAACCCAAAATTTCTAATTGCATTCCCTAGGCTGGTATACATTATAGATATAGTTACCTCACATATAGAATTTACTAGAAAAAAGGAAAGATGTTGGCCTCACAACAGAAACATCATGTATTGAAAGCACTCCGACGGAGTCACACTTCGTCACCATTATCTTCGAATTTGTCCTCTCCGACATCGTCATCCTCTTCGTCATCTTGGATTCATTTGCGATGAGTTCTATTAGTCGTTGCTTCTGCATCATCATCCTAACCAATTTCTAGGTCAGTTCCCTCATTCCTCTTTCCTCCCCTTTCCAGATCTCGATCTCCAACTACTATCTTTTACTCCAAAAAAATGCACTGATCTCTTTTTTCTCTACTTGCTTAGCCAATCTGTTCTAGGTTTTTTACTTCTGTATTCAAGACACCTACCTTTCACCCGATATTGTATTCCTCTTTTTTTTCTTCATGTTTCCAAGGGAAGAACCCCGATTTTACAAGCCCAAGGTGTGATTGCACTAAGGTGTGAAAAGGATGCTTCTACCCTGCCCTATTTCTTTAGTCGTTCAACAAATAACAGGGCAGTAAATTTCTCATTCATATCTCGACTTCATCTTCTCTATCAAGAAAAAGGCTTATGATTTTTCCCTTTCAGCTTATAGCTATTGGCTTAGAACTAGCTGCTATTTGGGAAGCTATCTGTCAAGCACATGTTTGAGTTTGTATTCACACCATTTGATGATGCTAGTAACCCTATCATAGCTCAGGTAAAGATGTTTAAATTAAATCCAGTTATCTTAATTCTTAACATTAAAGAATCAAATAATCATAATCATACTAAAAACCCCTTTAATTTAGTGTTTACAATTTTAATTTGACTTTTTGGATTTAAATTTTTTAGGCAGCTTTCAACGTAGTATATATTTTAGCACTATAACTTTTTATATATATGTTATTTTTTTCAGGTGTGGACATTGTAAAAAGCTTGCACCTGAATGGAAGAAGGCTGCAAAGAATTTACAAGGAAAGGTGAAGCTTGGACACGTGAATTATGATGACGAAAAGGTATTCTTGAATTTCTATTCTTTTTATCTAAAACAATATTATTATTTCTTATTATTACTAACTGATTATGTTTTTTTTTCTTTCAGTCTTTAATGAGCAGGTTTAAGGTACAAGGGTTCCCAACTATATTAGTATTTGGTGCAGATAAAGAGAGTCCAATCATTTGCCCTTGTTCAACTAGAAACAAATGTTGCTCCTCCTGAAGTGATCGAGTTGACCAACTCAGTGAGTTTTCCGAATCCCTTTTATAATTTTTCAGGATTTCCCTTTTTGCCCCTGATAAAATCATGAATTTTCCATTTTAGGATGAGATGGAAGAGAAATGTGGTTCAGCTGCCATCTATTTTGTTTCCTTCCTCCCTGATATTTTGGACTCTAAGACTGAGGGAAGGAATAAGTATATAAAGATTCTTCTATCAGTTGCTGAAAACTTCAAAAGGAGTCCTTACAAGTATAAAAATTTGATTATAGCATTTTACTTATATAAAAATAAGAGTAAATTACAAATTTGGTCCCTATGTGGCTATGCTTCACTCAAAATCTCAATTGTTCCTGGATACAGGAAACACTTCAGGCTTCTCCCCTTTGAAGTTCAACCAAAATTAACATATGATGAGATGAAAATTCTTAGAAGACTTGGAAGGCCTTTACCATGTCATTTTGCTTTAGGTTAGTCACTCTCACTCCAAATTCTAGTTCTATATGTTAGCGAACCTGATACATATGCCCTAAATCTACGTTCAATCGATGCATTTCCTTCTCAAATCTTGGTTTCCTCCTTTCATTTAGCTGTTTCCTATCATCCTCTTATTTAAACACAAATTTTTATAACTTCCCCCATTGTTCATTTGATAGAGCTTAATCAGAGGCATTAAACAGGTATGCCTTAATGTCTTCTGGCTTCTTCTGATGATTTTCTCTTTTTCTGTAGTTAAATTGCTGGATATGCTTCACTTTTTCTCATGAACTAAGTTCAATTTAATTTGAAGAATATAAAGACCTGATGATTGCTTTCTTCTGAAATGTGATTGAGTAGACTGAATGTGTTGCCCCCAAACAATTTACTTAACATGACTTTTAATTACATATTCACTGTTTTTGCTGTTTGTTCCTCATATAAGCTAACAACTTATCTACTACTACAGATGATTGTATTATTCGTCCAACCAAATGGGCTTTCATCACCAGGGGCTAGTTATGCAAAGTTTCTTCTCCAAATAGTTATTCTTATTCAATATGTTCCTAGATTATACCGATTCCTGCCTCTTCTTGCTAGACAATCTTCAAGTGGATTTATATCTGATGTCGGGGGCAAGGAAGGAATTTCAGCAGTGGAACTTATTCCATCTGATGGAGGAGATGCCTGAGGAGGGGCATTTTTAGGGGCATTTTCGGAAATATGAATTTTTTCCCATATATCAGAACAGTTAGTCTTCCAAAAATTCATAGAGGTACTTCCCTCATTTTACCTGTGTATGTGTTGCTATGCCCCTCATTTGAGCCCGACTACTTTGTAGGTTGGCTATTTGTTGTCTAAGCCTGATCAATTAGCGTGCTAAAATCTTTGTTGCTGCGTGATCAAACCACATGTTACTACTTATGAATAGTTAGACGTAATCAAAAAACTTAGGAATCCTAATTTAAGTAGATCTTTATTGCACACCAATTGTTTGATGATATGCCTTAGTGACAATGTGTATGATTTTTTTCTTCTTATATGATAGTTGTCTGAGATTTTATCATATTCATATGTAGCATTGAGTTTCTTTTTTTGTTTGACTTGTTTCAGATTACGAAGTTCCAATTTCCTACTCCCCCAGAAGCTAAATCATTGGCTGAAGCAGAGGTTTGTTTAAAGTCTCTTGAAGCTAAATCATTTTGTATACTGTAATGCAGATTTTGACAATGTTAAAGAGGAATTTATGCATACCAGTAACATGCAAAATACGCCTCTTGAACTCAACTGGAGATATGTAGAATTGGCCAGACGAATTGAAAAAACTGGGGTTTCTGCTATTGCTGTTCATGGAAGGTAATAATTTATAAAAAATTGATTGAATTATGTTTGTTTGTCATTGATTTATAGGGGCGTTTCTTTTTTACTTAATACATACACACTTTACTGTTTGCCCCATATTCAATTTTAAGGCCTAGAATTTACACACAATAACAGACAGTAGGTAAGTGTCACATAGAAGGGTAAAATTGTCATTTACTCACATTCAGGCAATTCATGCAGTCTAAAAAAGAGATCGTCTTATGTATACAACACTAACTCCAAACATACATCATTAATCATATTCAACACTTAATGGAAAAAATAAAATGCCCTAAGATCTGTTTGATTCAGCAATACCCTTTTTCCCACAATCAATGCAACATTAATTAATTTTTAATCTCCCACATTAATTAAGAGACATTGCATGTTTTTTGTTAAGTGAATTGCAGAAAAGTTTTAGACAGACTAAGAGATCCTGCAAACTGGAGTGAAATTGCACATGTTGTAGATATCATGTTTTTTGTTAAGTGAATTGAAGGTGATTTTGGTTCTTGAAATGAGACTCAAGATATCATATTTTAGCATGGCTAGAAGCTTTGGAGGAAACGAGACTCAAGCAAAAGTAAACACACAGAGATTTGTTGGCACATAGTAAGCTAGATGATGCAATTGTATATAAATGAGTTCATTTTTTTATAACATTTACTCACTTTTGGAATAATTATTTGTATTTAACATATTAGTGAAATGAATTATCTTTGTTATTTATGGTATTTTATTTTGTATTATGAGATTTTTAATGTATTATTTAATTTGAAAATTAGTAAATCTATAAATAATTTTTTTTAAACATTTAAAATTATGATACCCAAAAATACGTGTCATCTTCATTTATGACATGACCTTTCTTGACAGGGACTTTCTTGATACGCATTGCGTGTCATTAACATGTGCGTCCTAAGGTTACGACACACGAATGCGTGTCGTCTTCCTTTATGACAGGGCCTTCCTTGATACGCATTGCGTGTCGTAAACGCGCGTCCTAATTGCGCGTCGTAAATGAGCGTCGAAAATGCGCGTTGTCTTTCTTTATGACAGGGCCTTCCTTGACGCGCATTTGCGCGTCGTCTGAGCCTTTTACGACGCGCAATGAGCTTCGTGAAAGGATGTTTTTCTAGTAGTGCTAGCATGTTGTTCTAACATATCACAATATCAAATAAACATATGGTATTTCGTGGTCTACTTACTGCTTCCGGCAGATCGTACACCCTGCATCCTCCTTCTTCTCATTTTGAAAAACATTTTAAATTTTATTTTGAAAATCTTACCTCGGTTTGAGACTGGATTCCCAAAAATGTTCCTCCAATTAACTCAACCAAGTCTCTGATGCCAACTTGTAACACCCATAAAAATCATGCCAAATTTAAACTTTTTCAAAACACTTAAAACCATTTAACATTACAATCTTTCTTTTCAAAATAATAATATCAGAGTATCCCAGTATCAAATCATAAAATCATAACATCAGGAGGAGTAGTACGATCATGCCTTCGCCTTCCCGAGATCACCAGAAGTACCTAAAACAATAATCAATAAATGTAAGCTCGGAAGCTTAGTGAGTTCCCCCAAAATACCAACCTTATATAACCATAATCATATCATATCAACAAATTCACAACAACATGCATAATAAGCTTTCAGCCTGACTGGACTTCCTCATAGGTCCTGCAGCCTATCTGGACCGCTCTTGAGCCTTCGGCATGACTGGACCGCCTCGCAGGGCTTACAGCCTATCTGGACCGCTCGTTGGGTATGTTGTCCTACAACACAAAGTAGGACCGCCACAACCTAACCCCAATCAACCAAACATGTGCACAAAAATATCATACGCTACCTCATATAATATAACAGTCAAATCGATCTAATAGATCACTACTCATAGCAACATCCCAAACCGGGATACAGACCTAACCAATCACTAACATAGCATCATCCTATAAATAGGACACTGACCTAACCAGGTCACAAATCAGAAGCATGTCACCATCCTAACTACCAGGATGATATCAATAAATACATCATGCCATAATCGGATACAATCCACAAAGGGCCGACCTTGGTGCCTAAGACCCTGTTCATATAGTGAGGATAACTCACTTTGCAACAGTCGACTCAAAAGATAAGCTCAAACTCTCGGATCACCGGCACAAACTCCACCACCTATGTGCACCATAGAACCATACTTGTGAATTTCCAATTTCCCAAAATTCCCCAGAAGTCAGATAGTCAACCCTTGATCAAAGTTAAATTCAACGATCAAGGTCAACAGTCCATGTTGACCCGACTCGTCGAGTGCAGTCACTGACTCGTTGAGCCCTTCCATTACTCGAGTAGTCATGAAAACCCCCACTGACTCATCGAGTTTCTCTGCAACCCACCGAGTTCATGCGTGCCAAACTTCGGGAAAACCGTAGCTGGCTCTTCGATTCACCTTACTAACTCGCTGGGCCCACGATAATGTTTATCGGACTCACCGAGTTAACCATGTAACTCGCCGAGTCCCTTCAGTCCATATCCATAGAGATTCTTATTAAGCCATCTTAATGTTCCATATTACAGATCCAGCTTCCCAAGGCATGTTTATGACATAAAGTTGCAAACTTTACTTGCATGCAAGGCTCTAAAGTCTTATAATGACAAAACCAAGATTGTAATGGAGTTTTACACTTGAGGAGAGATTCACACTTGATAAAGCTGAAAGCTTTATGGCCTTAGGGACCAAAGAGAGTCCAAATCTTAAGTTACAACTTTAGATCTTAGCTTATACCCAACAATGGCTTCCTATTATGCTAGAAAAGCCCTAATATTTAACCAAATGCGACCTAGAATGAAACGAGGTCAAGGTAACGACTTCATACCTTCCAAAAGATGCCAACTGAGGTAGAGATCAGATCCCTACATCTTCCTTGCTTCTAGTCACTTGCTCTCCAGGCTCTTCTTACAAAGATCCACCTTCCAAAGCTTAAAACACACAAGAATGAAGCACACACACGGAGTTGGGTTTGCTGGAATATCAAGAGGTTGTAAAGGGGCTGAAGGAAATTTATGATCCTTTAAATAGCGTGCAAAACCCCAAAAATTAGGGTTTCATCCTCCAACTCCTACTAGTCGAGTCCTATCTTGGGCTCGGTGAGTAGGTCACTTAAACAAGTGGGCCAACCCACTTCTACGCGACGAGTTAGGGCTTCCAACTCGTAGCTGCAATTTATGAAAATTAAAGCTATAAAGTTATCACCGAAGAGTCAGGGTGTTACAATCTCCCTTTCTTCATGGTTAACTAGCATGAGTGGGAGGTGTATGGTGCCCAATAGCTATAGGTTGTGTCATGTGAAACCAATCAGTGGGTCGCTGGTCAGCGGTTTAAAGTCCTCATTCCAGGAACTCGATAATTGTCGGAAGCAGTGCTCATAAAGGATGTAAGTGCTACTGTCATGATCTATATATATGTGGTGGATTTGGTTTTGTTATATACAGGAAGTAATTAAGAGCGGATCCATGGGGTTCCAGTTATGTGGCATCGAGTCCTCTAATAAGAAGTTGATGCTTAGGAGGATTCTATATAGTACCTTTATACCATCGTCGATCTCACAACGCTCGTACCTTTTGTATGATCTCTTGATGGTAAGGACCTCATTCTTGGAATCCTGGTGTTTGCTATTATCTTTTGAACCCGAATGTTATCCGTATCGATATCAAGTTTGGGCCTCAGGTTATTTCTGGTGTCGAAGATCTTCATTGCTATCTGTCTTTTTTCTATCTTAGCAACGTTGTGTGCTTGAGGAAAGGTTTCCTGGGGTTGGTTTATACAGGGGTTGAACTATGATGCCTATTGCACAGAAAAATCTATATGCGGCACGCATACTATCGGGGAGAACTTATAGCTTGACTTTAAGTGTTGTGCTGAGGAAAACATGGTCCATGGGAACCAACTGCTCGTCCCACCTACTGTGGTTGCAGTTTTGGCTGAAAAACCACCGGTTACGATTGCTGAGTCAATAACTATGACTATTTGGTCGGTGGTTGCGACTGAGAAACCAATGGTTGTGACTGCTAATTCACTGTCGACTGAGGCGTTGCTATCGTGGTTGTGACCGGATGCTTTGTTGTGACGGGTAACAGTTTCCATAGGGTGGCGATTGCTACTGCTATGGTTTTCTTTATTAGTCCTAGCATATGTGTTGTTGGTGTATGGGTAGAGGCTTGTCCATCTAAGGTATATGGTTGTGTGCCATCGAGCGACATCATTGATCTGAGTGGGATCATTTCTCCTCCACGGACGCCGCAGGTGCCTTTCTTGTTATGGTCGCTGTCTAAGGTCATTTTAAGGTTGTGTAACTATGTATATACCCCTGGATGACACTAAATGTTGTGATATGTCTTCGAGCTTAATGTTATTTATGGTGGTTTCACCTGAGTTAAGCCTGAGAATCAGAGCAAAGAAAGAACCGATGTCAGTCCTCATTTGGGAGGGGGGCTAAGAACGAGACTCCTACAGTCTAGTCAGTAATTGGATGAGAGAATTAGGTTTTAGCTTGAAATAGAGAAAGAGGTTATCCCTTATTCTAGAGAAGAATAGTTCCTTTTATACATGTAGTTAAGGAAGCATGTCCCAGATAATACCTCTGGTCTTATTTGGGCCATCAGGACGTAGAGGCATCCTACTGGTGGATTGTGCGTGGTTATCTGTTATTGGTGCAGAACCGCCAAAGAGCGGCACTCTAAGCGCTACACTTGTCGCTCTGGGAGTGGTTGGTATTGTTTTTCCATATTATGGATAGGAGCCTCTCGTTCTGAATTAGACTTTGGCGCTAGAGCACTGCGGTCTAAGAGAGAGGCAGCGAGGGCGAGGGACCAAACCTAGCACTTATGATGGGTAACGACTGTTAACTAGGTCATCCTTTAGATCATCACTCAGTTATCTTTAACGTATTCATGGAGGGATATGTTAACACCATCTGAGACATCAGAGTAAGCACA